ACTGTTTATCTTTTAAATTTTTGGTAGGTGTTTTTAAATTTTTTTAAACTAAAAATTCACATTAAATTTAGAGCCCAAACTTGTTACTGTTATTTAACTACTGCTTACCTTCTAAGCAATATAGATCAAGAAGTCTTAAATGCAGAAGGAGTCATCTTTAGAATCTTGTTGCAATATAATTGAATTCAACCAACCAGTAGCATTTGATGGTACTCTGGCTATAGCATTTTATATTAAATGTTTTTCATGTATCTGATTCTTAAACTCTCTTCCAATCCCACAGCCTTTATTTGCTTGGGTGTGTGTCCTAGATGTTCTACCCATATTCTAAACAGTCTTGTGAAAAGCCTTGTCTTAATATCTATTCATCAATCAACAGAATTGGAGTGGGAATTTTGTTTAATTAAAAACTGAGCTAATGGAGGGGCACCCGAGTGGCTCAGTCAGTTGAACTTCTGACTTCAGCTCAGGTCATGATCTTGTGGTTTGTGGGTTTAAGCCCTATGTTGGGCTCTGTGTTGATAGCTCAGAGCCTAGAGTCTGCTTTAGATTCTGTGTCTCCCTCTCTCTCTCTGCCCCTCCCGTTTGCACTCTGTCTCTCTCTGTCTCTCAAAAATAAATAAATGTTAAAAAAAAAACCTGGGCTAATGAAGTAAAGATGTCTATTACTTTAAAGGCCACCTTTTTTAAAAAGTGTTTTTATTTATTTCTGAGAGAGAGAGAGAGACAGACAGACAGACAGACCGACAAACAGTGTGAGCAGGGGAGGGTCAGAGAGAGAGGGAGACACAGAATCCGAAGCAGACTCCAGGCTCTGAGCTAGCTGTCCGCACAGAGCCTGGCGCGGGGCTCGAACCCACGAATCGGGAGACCATGACCTGAGCTGAAGTCGGACGCCCAACTGACTGAGCCACCCAGGTGCCCCTAAAGGCCACCTTTCATGGGTGTTTGATGTAGGGACATTTGTAAGTGTTGCAGTCTTCAGGACAAAATGAATTTAGTTTGGATATCAGCTATTAGGTGATTCTGTGTATTCTATAGGATTTTCCAGGCATTGCTTCCTTCATGATGCCAATAACTAATAACTAACTTCCAAGTTATTAGTTGTATCTACTGAAGTCATGAGGCAAAAAAGGGAGGAGCTGTGAAGAGGATAAGGAAAAAGCATACAAATGTTGAAGTAAAATGTTTGGATCCCTTCTCAATTCAAGGTCATTTGAAAGGAAGGCAGGCAGAGCACTTAGTGAGAAAATACTAGATTTACAGTCTTTCAGGCATGCATTTTAATGTGTACGTTTGCATGCAGAACTATACACGCAGTTCCTTTGCTCAGACCAAACACTGTTGCAAACACTAATAACTAACTTTGTGGTGGGTGGTGAGACAGTAGATTCTGAGTCACAGCACAGTTTCCAGAGGATCAATGCAGTGTATAATATAGATTTGACTGTAAGGGGCAGCCAATACAATGTGGTCAGATACCACTAAGGAGTTGTATTAACAAAGTATGATAATTACAAACTTTCTTGAGCTCTGGGCTTATAGACTTTAGTGCCAGTTGACCACAGTAGAACATTTGCAGTTTTGGGATTAGTCTTGCACACCTAGCTTTGTAGTTTTCCTTTCACTTTTCTTTGCCTAAAAAATGCATTGGCTAAAAGAAGGACTGCTAAATTTTTTATGCTTCTAGAATACATCTTTGAGAACAAATGTAGAATAAACAATATAAGTAAAATTGTGGCAGGTACAGGGAGGGAAATTTTTGTTTTGCTTTTTTTTTTTTTTAATTTGTCTCAGTTATGTAAGTTAAAATGAAAAAAATAAATGACTTTTCCTGGCAGTGGAGATACTCTTAAGTTATAATGAGATGACATTGACATTTGGCCAAGGTTCTTTGGGAAATACAGAATAGCTCCAATGCAGTGCAGCTCCTTTCCTTGGGGTTTATCTTTTGATAATGGCAATAAGGCAAACAGTTTCATACTTTGGGTGAGAAAAATAGCAGAATATAAAGTATGAGAACATAAACATGCCGTGGCCTAGACTAAAAATATAGTTTTATTGAGATGTAATTCACATGTCATACAATTTAACCAATTCAGTGGTTTTTATCATGTGCAGTTATCAGCATAATCAATTGTAGTACATCTTCATATCCCCAAAAGAAAACTATACTCATGTAACAGTATGGTGACTACAGTTAGTGATACTGTATTGCATATTTGAAAGTTGCTATGAGAGTAGATCTTAAAAGTTCTCATAATGAGAAAAATTTTTTTGTAATTGAGTATGGTGACAGGTGTTAATTAGACTTATGTGGTAAGCATTTTGCAATATACATAAATATTTATAAATATTATAAAAAATATATAAATATACATGTTTTACACCTGAAACTAATATACTGTTATATGTCAGTTATACCTCAATTAAAAAAAAAAAAACCCACCATACCCATTAGCAGTCACTCCCCAGCCATAGGCAATAATTAGTCTATTTTCTGTTCCTGTTTGCCTACTCTGGACATTTCAAATGAGTAGAATCATATAACGTGGTATTTTGTAACTTCTTTCAGTTTGCACAAACTTTGTTCATGTCATGTAGTATGTACCAGTACCATATTCCTTATAATTGCCAAATAATGTTCCATTTTATGGATATACTAAATTTACCCATTTATTGGTTGATGGACATTTGGATTATTTTACTTTTTGGCTGTTATGAATAGCCAAATACTAGGGTTATGAGCATTTATGCACAAGCTTCTACGTGGACCTAGATTATCCTTTCTCTTGTATATGTACATATGTGTATATATGTATATATATACATGTAGGTGTGGGATTACTGGGTCGTATGCCAGTTCTCTGTTTAACTGAGGAACTGCCTTTCGAGGAACTGCCAGACTGTTTTCCAAAGTAACTGCACCATTTTATATTTGCATCAGTAATGTATGAAGGTTCCAATTTCTCCACATCCTCATTAACATTTGTTATTATCTATCTTTTTGACTGTAGTTATGCTAGTGGGTATGAAATGGTATCTCATTTTACTTTTGATTTGCATTTCCCAATGTGTAATGCCACTGAGCATCTTTTCTTCTGTTTATTGGCCATTTTTGTATCTTTTTTTGAGAGATGTCTGTTCAGATCATTGTCCATTAAAATTGGATTATTTGTCTTTTTATTATTGAGTCATAAGAGATCATTATATTTTCTGATGCAACCCCCTTATTAGATATATAATTTACAAATACTTGTTCAATTCTGTGGATTGTCTTTTTACTCTTTTGATGGCGTGCATTGAGGTACAAAAGTTTTTCGTTTTGATGCTGTCCAGTTTATTTTCTTCTTTTGTGTTTGTGCTTTTGGTGTCTAAGAAACTATTAGCTAACCCAACATCATATGCATTTACTCTTATGTTTCCTTTTCTTATGAGTTTTATAGTTTTAGCTCTTAAACATTTATATCTATGATCTATTGGGATTAGTTTTTGTGTATGGTGTTCATTCTTTTTGTGTGTAGATATCCAGTTGTTCCACCACCATTTTCTGGAAAGACTGTAGTTTCCCCACTGGATTGTCTTGTCACAATTGGTTGGCCATAAATGTGATAGTCTATTTCAGGATTGTCTGTTCCATTAATCTACATGTCTGTCCTTCTGTCCTTATAGTAGTACCACACTGCCTTGATTACTGTAGCTTTGTAGTTAAGTTTGACATTGGTGAATGTAGTCTTTCTGCTTTGGCTTTTTCAAAATTATTTGGCTATTACTGTTCTTATGCATTTCTATACAGGTTTAGGATTACCTTGGTAATTTTTATAAAAAAAAAAAAAAAAAAAAAGCCAGCAAGCTACCTGGGATTTTGGTAGGGAATATCTTGAATCTTGTAGACCTTTCAATTCATGAATATAAAATAACTTTCTATATATTTAAGTCTTGAATTTCAACAGTGTTCAATGTTTTGGCATTTTCACTGTATAAGTCTTGCAGTTTTTTTTTTTTTAGAAAGAGCGCAAGTGGGAGAGAGGTGCGGGGGGGGGGGCGGAGAGGGAGGGAGGGAGGGAGGGAGGGAGAGAGAATCCTAAGCAGGCTCCACACTCAGCACAGAACCCTACGTGGTGCTTGATCCCATGACCCTGGGATCATAACCTAAGCTGAAACCAAGAGTTGGATGCTCAACCAACTGAGCCACCCACGTGTCCCAGTCTTGCTCTTCTTTTAAATACATTCTTAAGGATTTAAGTTTTTTTGATGCTATTATAAATGAAATTGTTTTCTCAATTTGTTTCTGGGTTTTCTATTGATGGTGTATAGAAACACAACAGCTTTTTGTTTATAGTATTGATCTTGTAGCCTACAAACTTTGCAAAACTTGTTTATTCTAATAGTTTTTAAATGGGTTCCTTAGGATTTTCTTTTAATTAATTTCTTTAGAGAGTATGAGTCAGGGAGAGGAGCAAAGGGAGAGATAGAAAGAGAGAGAGAAAGAGAGAATCTTAAGCAGGCTCTGTGCTCAGCACAGAGCCCAACACAGGGCTCCACCCCAGGACCCTGGGATCATGACCTGAGCCAAAATCAAGAGTCTGATGCTCAAGTGACTGAGCTACCCAGGCAGTCCTTATTCCTTAGGATTTTCTATCTACAAGACTGTCGCAAGTAGAGATAGCTCTACTTCTTTCTTTCCAATCTGGATCCTTTTTGTTTGTTTATCTTGCCTAACTGGTCTGACCAGAACTTCTAGAACAATGTTAAAGTGAAGTTGCAGTCGTAGAATATCCTATTCATATTCCTGATGTTAGTCTTTCACCATTAAACATGGTATTAACTGCAGGCATTTGTAGATGGACTTTATCAGGTTGAGAGGTTCCTTTCTATTCCTAGTTTGTTGAGTGTTTTTATCATGAAAGCGTGTTGGATTTTTGTAAAATGATTTTTCTGAAACAAGTTACTTTAAAAATGACTATTTTCTCTGTTTTTTTTTCTTTTTTCATCTGCAGAAATTGACTTGCATACCAAATGTGTGGTGGATGTAGATGCAAACAAGGTTATTCTTAGTCCTATAAATACTAATCTTTCCAAAGGAGATGCCCGGTAAGTTAAGAAACAGTGTTCTGTTCAGTGGATTTTTATTTTTTATTTATTTATGTAAACAGTTTTTTTAAATGTTTATTCTTGAGAAAGAGACACACACAGAGCATGAGTGAGGGGAGGGGTAGAGAAAGAGGAGACACAGAATTTGAAGCAAGCTCCTGGCTCTGAGGCATCATCACAGAGCCTGACAGGTGGCAAGATCATGACCTGAGCTGAAATTGGATGCTTAGCCAACTGAGCCATCTGGCTACCCCTGTTCACTGGAGTTTTATTTTATTTTTTTAATGTTTTTATTTATTTCTGAGAGAGAGAGAGACAGCGTGAGTAGGGGAGAGTCAGAGAGAGAGGGAGACACAGAATCTGAAACAGACTCCAGGCTCTGAGCTAGCTGTCAGCACAGAGCCCGATGTGGGGCTCGAACCCACGAACTGTGAGATCATGACTTGAGCCGAAGTCAGATGCTTAACTGACTGAGCCATTCAGGTGCCCCTGGATTTTTAAGTGACTGAAAGTAACAATGGCTGCTGAGTTGAGTTCAACTTAGCAGATAATACATGCTTAATTACTATGTAGAGACATATAGCTGTCAAGTGAAAGAGGAAAGGTCTATAATGTGGAATGAGTATGTGCCAGAGAGAGTGTTGCAGATAGCAGTTGTACCAGAAGCTCAGAGAAGAGAACTTCAGGTCGGATGGTGGAGTAACTGAGGAAGCCTTCTTGAAGCGGATGGTATTGGCTAAGGGATTAGTGAGATGTAAATAGGAAGAAGTGGGGTAGAAGAGAAGGCCTTTAGGTTGTTCTTTAGCTTGGGTTGCTTTTACTTCTGCCACTTTGAATCCTGTCAGAGCCCATTTCAAGTGCTACTTCTTCCTGAAGGCATTCCTGCAGGCATGCCTGCATCCTTCAGTGATTTCTCCACTCTAAATCTCTGTAAACTATAATCTGTACTACCCAACTGAATTATTATACATTGTTTTAGATTGTTACTTGTAGCTCATTGGTAGATTGTTAGGTCTTGGAAGGAAGGGACTCTCTTTCAAGGGTTGAAGATGAATCACTTCCAGATTTGGATGACTGTATGAACAAAAGGAGAGCAAGAAAGTGTAAAGTAAAAGAATTTGGGGAAGAAGGAAGAGAGTTATTTGGTTTTTCTGAGCAAGTGCACGGAAGTTAATTTAATAAAATAAGCTAGGATCAGATTACAGAAGATCTTGAAAGCAGATAAGGAAATTTGACCTCTATTTTTATGGGTAAGATGTCATCTTTGACAGTTCTTAAACACTGAGGTTAAGGAGGTGGATTAAGGAAAGTTGTCAATTGACTGTGTAGAGAATGGTTTCAAGTGGGGAAAGACTGGCTTTTCATAGAGATCAGCTTTAATCAGAGTAAAGAGCATAAATTAGACAGTGCCTTCCATGGTACTTTGCATGAAGTAGATACTTAAACTTGTAGAGACAATGTTGTGTATGGAAATATACACAGAAGGCACTTCATAAATGTTCTTTCACATTTGATCATAGCCAAAAGGCAAGAAATGATCCATAAATGTTCTTTCAGATTTTGTCTTTGAGTTGAAAGAGCACTGAACTTAGTATCAGAAAATCTTAAATTGAATCTCTATGTAACTATGTTGTTTTAAACTATTAAGTAGGTACTAAATTAGTAGCTAGTTATTTTTAACTTTTTTTGAGCCTCATCTGTATGGTGTATGCCTTACGTATCTCATAGAAGTGTTTTCTGTATCTCATAGAAGTGTTTTCTGAAGATCAAATTAGTGATTGTTAAAGTGCTTTGTAAAGTGCTCTATAATTGTCCAGGTTTATTGTCATTGATGTAGAGATTTTTTTTTTTCAGTTTATTTGTTTGTTTTGAGAGAGAGAGAAAGGGAGAGAGCGCAAGGATAGGAGGGGCAAAGTGAGAGGAAGACAGAATCCCAAGCCGGCTCCACACTGTCAGCTCAGAACTGAATATGGGGGTAGAGCTCACGAACTGTGAAATCATCACCTGAGCTGAAATCAAGAGTGAGATGCTTAGGGGCGCCTAGGTGGCTCAGTTGGTTAAGCATCTGACTTCAGCTCGGGTCATGATCTCACAGTTCATGAGTTTGAGCCCTGCATTGGGCTCTATGCTCACAGTTTGGAGCCTGGACCCTGTTTTGGATTCTGTGTCTTCCTCTCTCTCTCTCTCTCTGCCCCTCCCTGGTCTCATTGTCTCTCTCTCAAAAAAAAAAAAAAAAAAAAGAGTGGGACACTTAACTGACTGAGCCACCCTGGCACCCCGTAGAGATATTTTGTAAGCATCACTAGGATATGGGTACTATCAGATATGATGTTATTAGGGTTTGAAGGGTATAGATGTGTCAAAAATGATGCTAGAACTATGAGCTTCCTAACTGAGTGACCTATTGTCCTGAGTATTAATTGAAATAATTAATATTGGAGGCAGTTTGTTACCCTTAGAATTTTCATTGTGGAGATTGTTGCTTTATTTGAAAATGCGGGTACCTTGGAACAAACATGGAGGCAATATCCTATGGTAGAAAGAGTGTAGACTTTATCTATAGGCTGACATGGATTCAAATTCTGGCTTTGCCACTTTGTAGATGGTTACGCACCTGTGTTCTTTATTTATAAAGTGTTTTAGTATCTTATTGCTGCATAATCAGTTACCTTTAAAAACAGCTTAAGGCAACAATAATCATTTATTATCTCATGGTTTCTGTGGGTCAGGAATTCAGACAGGACAAAGCAGGGAGGGCTTGTCTCTGCCCCATGCTGTCTGGCGTAGCTGGATGACTTGAAGGCTGGGTATGGGAATCATCTGGAAAGGGCCCAGTCACCCAGGTCTGGCGGGTAAGCTGCCTGTTGACCTGAGATGTAGCTGGGGTGGTAGGCAGAATACCTCCTCACAGTCTGGTGGCAGCAGGTTCCAAGGGGAAGTGTCCTGAGAGAGTGAGAAAGCCAGGTGGAAGTAGTATTTCCTTTTATGTCCTAACCTTGGGAGTCACACAGTATCTTCTGTCACATTTTTTTACTCAAGGCTGATATAAAGATCCAAACAATTTATAGGAGAGGAAGCATAGACTTATCTTTTTAAGTTTTTTAATGTTTATTTATTTTTGAGAGAGAGAGAGTGCGCATGCCCTGGGGAGGGGCAGAGAAAGGGAGACACAGAATCTGAAACATGTTTCAGTCTCTTAGCTGTCAGCATAGAGCCTAGTTTGAGACTCAGATTCACAGACTGCGAGATCATGACCTGAGCTGAAGTTGCACCCTCAACCAACTGAGTCACCCCGGTGCCCTTTAAATTTTTATTTTAATGTTTATTTATTTTTGAGAGAAAGAGAAAGACAGAACACAGACTAATCTTTTAATGGAGGAGCATCAAAGTCACATAAGAAAAGCCTTTGGGAAGGGATATGTATTGTTGTGGCTATCTTCGGAAAACATAGTCTCCCACAAGTGTGTAATAGTATAAACTTGACAAAGTTGTGAGAATAACATGACACCATAAAAGCTGAAAAAATATTTTCTTTCCTTTTGAGATCTTTAAATCTCTGGGGTTTGTGAAAGAATCAAATAGCTCTTCTTGGTTCTGTAGAATATCTTAGATGGCTCTTTTTTTCCATATGCTGAAAATACAAATTGAATATCACTCATTGATATAGAGCATCGTTTGATAAAAATTTTTTTTTAAAAATGACAACTTCCAGTAAGGTTGACATGTAATGATTTTTGATGAAGGAAGTTAAGCACAGACTTAAAAAACAGCTTTTTAAAAAAAGTCTATTTATTTATTTAAGTAATCTCCACACCTAACATGGGGCTCGAACCCACTACTCCAAGATCAAGCATGCTCTTCCAACTGAGCCAGCCAGACGCCCATTAGAAAACAGCTTTTTAGGGAAGGAATGAAGAGCAAAAATGAACTATTGGGACCTCATCAAGATAAAAAGCTTCTGCACGGCAAAGGAAACAATCAATAAAACTAATAGGCAACTATGTGTAGCAACATGGATGGACCTTGAGGGTGTTATGCTGAGCGAAATAAGTCAGGCAGAGAAGGACAAATATCATATGTTTGCACGTATAGGAGGATTAGGAGGAACTTGACGGAGGAACAAGGGGGAGAAGAAGGATGGAAATGGTGGGGGAAAGGGAGAGAGGCAAACCATGAGAGACTCTTGAATGCTGACAAAAACTGAGGACTGATGGATGTGGGGGGGAGGGGGGATGGGCATGGAGGAGGGCACTTTGGGGATGAGCACTGAGTGTTATGTAGAAACTAATTTGACAATAAACTATTTGTAAAAAAAAAAAAAAAAAAAAACTAATAGGCAACTGACAGAATGGGAAGAGATAGTTGCAAATAACATATCAGATGATGGGCTAGTATTCAAAATCTATAAGGTACTCACCAAACTCCACACCCGAAAAACAAATAATCCAGTGAAGAAATGGGCAGAAGACATGAACAGACACTTCTCCAAAGAGGACATCCAAATGGCCAACAGACACATGAAACGATGCTCAGCATCTCTCATCATCAGGGAAATGAAGATCAAAACCACACTGAGATACCACCTCATGCTGGTCAGAGTGGCTAAAATGAGCAAATCAGGAGATTATAGATGCTGGTAAGGATGTGGAGAAATGGGCACCCTCTTACACTGTTCGTGGGAATGTAAACTGGTGCAGCCCCTCTGGAAAACAGTGTGATGGTTCCTCAGAAAATTAACAATAGAACTCCCCTATGACCCAGCAATAGCACTGCTAGGAATTCACGCAAGGGATACAGGAGTGCTGATGCATAGCGGCACATGTACCCCAGTGTTGATAGCAGCACTTTCAACAATAGCCAAATCATAGAAAGAGCCTAAGTGTCCATCAGTTGACGAATGGATCAAGAAGATGTGGTTTATCTATACAATGGAATACTACCTGGCAATGAGAAAGAATGACATCTGGCCATGTGTAGCAATATGGATGGAACTTGAGGGT